AAGCCGCATCGAATCCTTCGGGAGATGCTAGCGGGGTACAAATAAAGTTTAATAATAATAATAATAATAACACAAGATGGGGTATGAAAAAGTTAAAACAGAGGGATAAAACACAAGATACACACAGTTAATACAAGGCTAAAATTCACTCCAAAATCCGACCATTCTAGCACTGGAAGGGGCTCCTAGGGGTCAGCTAGTCCATCCCTGGGCCCCCAACACTCTGCTTGACCATGCCTCTCTTTTCCCCATAGAACACCAAGGGCTTCCTGGAAAAGTATGACGCCATGCTGCGCTACACGCTGAGGCCCGAGACCTGGACGACGACGCAGAAAGAGCTGGAAGGCCGCGGGGTACGTCCCACATCGATATCTCCCCTCTCCTCACCCTCTCTCTCTCTATATGGCAGGAATAGGGTTGAACTGGATGGGTTTTGGGGTCCCTACCCAACTCTAGGAGCCTTACTTCTCCATGACACTTATGTCTATGAGGCTGGGTGGCCATCTGTCGGGAAGGATCAGATTGCGCTTTTCCCGCATCGTTGCAGAAACGGGGTTGGACTGGATGGCCTTCGGGAGGGTCCCAACTCTAGGATTCTGTGATATATCACCTTAAATATCCCTCTCTCAATCATATCTATGGTCATATATCTCTGGCTAGATGATCATCTGTCAGGAGGGATTGGATTGTGCTTTTCCTGCATAACACCAGAAATTGGGTTTGATGGGGTTGGCCATTTGGGGGTCCCGTGCCAATGGTTTGCGCTTACCTCTGTTAGGCCTTTCTCTCTCCGCCTATCTCCGACAGGTGGTTTGCATGAGCTTCTTCGACATCGTCCTGGACTTCATCCTGATGGACGCCTTCGAGGACCTGGAGAACCCGCCCTCCTCCGTCCTGGCCGTCCTGCGCAACCGCTGGCTTTCTGACAGCTTCAAAGAGACGGTGTGCCCCTTCCCGCCACTCACTTGCACTTACGGCGGTAGTTTTTGAACTACTAGGTTGGCAGAAGCTGGGGCTAAAAGCGGGAGCTCACCCCACTCCCCAGATTTATATAATAGAGTAAAATAATGGAAATGTAATAGTAACAGTAATAATAGCATGAAGTAATAAATGTAATAATAAAGAGTAAAACAATAAATTTAAAATAACAATGATAAATTAAAATTATAAATGTAATAATAATAATAATAAATAGAGTGAAATACTAAATGTAATAGTAATAATAAAGAGTAAAATAATAAATGTAGTAATAACAATATTAAAGTAAATTTATAAATGTAATAATAACAATATTAAAGTAAAATTATACATGTAATAATAACAATAATAATAGAGTGAAATAATAAATGCAATAATAATAAAGAGTAAAATAATAAATGTAATAATAACAGTAATAATAGAATGAAATAATAAATGCAATAATAATAATAAAGAGTAAAATAATAAATGTAATAATAGTAGTAATAAAGTAAAATTATAAATGTAATAATAATAAATAGAGTAAAATAATAAATGTAATAATAATAACAACAACAGTAACAATAACAACAGAGTAAAATAATAAATAACCTTGACTTGAGTATAAGCCAAGGGGGGACTTTTTCAGCCTTAAAAAGGCTGAAAAACTAGGTTTATACTCGAGTATATACAGTAATTATCATTGTAATTATTAATATTATTATCACTACCATTATTAGTATTACTGTTATTATTAGTATTATTATCATTATCACTATCATTATTATTAAGTATCTACTCTTTTTAGTATTATAATTATAATTGTAATTAATACTATTATTGCTATCATTATTAAAAGTATTATTATTACTAGTATTAGCATTATTATTAAATATTAGTACTCTTTGTAGTATTATATTTATCATTATAATTATTAATATATATAATTAATTAATATAATTATTAATATTATCACTATTATTATCACAAGATATTTGCTAGGTGTCAGGCTACAAAGAACTGATATAATCCATTCCTGCATTATTTTGAGAGAGGGATAAGCTAATATTTGAAAGCTCGGCAGCCTGTGACGCATTATTCGCCGATCCAATACAACAGCCAGCAGAGTGATCTTGTTTACTGTGGACTCATCTTGTTGTGCATCTTATTATTATTATTATTATTATTATTATTATTATTATTATTATTATTATTATTTATATGCTGCTTTTTCTCAAAGCAGCTGGCATTATCTTCCTGTGGAAATTATTTATTATTATTATTATTATTATTGAGACAGAGAAAATATCCATTTAAATAATAATAATAAATTATTTATATGCTGCTTTTTCTAAAAGCGGCTGGCATTATCTTCCTGTGGAAATTATTATTATTATTATTATTATTATTATTATTATTATTGAGAGAGAAAAAGCATATAAATAATAATATAAATAATAATAATATTAAGATTTGGAGGCTTATTTCTCTTTTCTTTGAATCCCAGGCCCTGGCAACGGCTTGCTGGTCTGTGTTGAAAGCCAAGAGGCGTCTCTTGATGGTAAGCGCAAAGGACCGGCGCATGGGAAGGGACCCCAAAGGCCTCCTGCCTGCACAACATACTGTTAACTATAATTTCTTCTTCCCAAGAAACCCTGGGAATTGTAATTTACGATATGGGCTTGTGGGATAGTGTTTTATGCTCTTCTCTTTGCTTTCTTTCAGGTCCCCGAAGGCTTCATCTCCCATTTCTACTCCGTATCGGAGCACGTCAGCCCCGTCCTGGCCTTCGGCTTCTTGGGACCAAAGGAGCATCTCTCCGAAGTCTGTGGCTTCTTCAAGGTATGCGCCTCGGACCCAAAATAAACCCTAGCTCAGGTCAAGCTCAGCCAGACAGATGCGTTGCATCATCAAACGATATTAATATACCACCAGATATTAATACAGAATATCATTATTGACATTAATCCTTACAATGATTTAAGGAGAACTCTTATTGTTGGACCTTGAGAGATTGGGGCCAATGGTTTCTACAGGAAATGGAGTCGCAAGGAATTCAGGCCAGAATTTGGGGTTTGGAGAGTTATAATAATATAATACATATTAGATAGAGATATATTATTGTTATTGTTGTTATTATTTCCACATGAAGTCAGTTTATCTCAAAGCTGCTGGCATTATCTTCATGTGGAAATCATTATTATTATTATTATTATTATTATTATTATTATTATTATTGTATTTATATCCTGCATTTTCTCTCAAAGCCATTGGCATTATCTTCATGTGGACATCATCGTCATCATCATCATCATTATTATTATTATTATTATTATTATTATCATTATATACTACTTTTTCTCTCAAAGCCACTGGCATTATCTTCATGTGGTCATCATCATTATCATCATCATTATTATATTTATATCCTGCTTTTTCTTTCTCAAAGCCACTGGCGGCAATTTCTTCATGTGGATATTATTATTATTATTATTATTATTATTATTATTATTATTATTATTATGTTGCTTTTTCTCTCAAAGTTGCTGGCATTATCTTCATGTTGACATTATTATTATTATTATTACTATTATATTTATATCCTGCTTTTTCTTTCTCAAAGCCACTGGCATTATCTTCATGTGGATGCCATTATTGTTGTTGTTGTTGTTATTATTATTTATATGCTGCTTTTTCTCTCAAAGCCGCTGGCATTATCTTCATGTGGACATCATCATCATCATTATTAATCTGCTTTCTCTCTCTCAAAGTTGCTGGCATTATCTTCATGTGGACATTATTATTATTATTATTAATAATAATAATAATAATAATAATAATAATATGCTGATTTTTTTCTCAAAGCCAATGGCATTATCTTCATGTGGACATTATTATTATTATTATTAATATGCTGATTTTTTTTCTCAAAGCCACTGGCATTATCTTCATGTGGACATCATCATCATTATAGTCTTTATATGCTACTTCTTCTCTCCCAAAGCTGCTGGCATTATCTTCATGTAGAAATCATTATTATTATTATTATTATTATTATTATTATTATTATTATTATATGCTGCTTTTTCTCTCTCAAATCTACTGGTATTATCTTCATGTGGATATTATTCTTCTTAATATTATTTTACTGACTCAAAAGCATAGCATGACACAGCAAATGAGATATATATGCTGGATTTCATATCACAGAATCAGAGCACATATTATTCATTTATTTACGACATTTCTATGCTGTCCTTCTCACCCTGAAGGGGACTCAGAGCGGCTTACAAGTAATATGTAGATACAATATATTATATTATTACCATAGCACAACATTAGTATTATATATTACTATATTGTACTATACCATTATACTGTAATATTATTAGTAATATTACCTGTAATATTAAATATATAATATACCATAATATTATTAGTAATATTACCTGTAATATAATATTATTAGTAATATTACCTGTAATATTAAATATATAATTATAATATCATATTATTATTAGTATTATATTGTATGACATTATATTATATATATATATATATATATACACACACACACAATATATTATATTATATTATATTATATTATATTATATTATATTATATTATATTATATTATATTATTATATTGGCCCTGTTGTCTCCGCAGCATCAGATCCTGCAATACCTGAAGGACATGTTCGACCTGGACATCGTGCGCTACACCTCGGTGCCACTGCTGGCGGAGGACGTGCTACAACTCTCCCGACGCCGCAGCGAGATCCTTTTGGGGTATTTGGGGGTCGATACCTCGCTGACACCACTGACAGAAGAGGAGGAGGAAGACGAAGAGAGCAACGGGGTCAACCGAGGTCATCCATCTGGGTGAGAGGGAGCCCTGCCTGGCTTTCCTCCCACAAACCGATGTGACTCCATCTTGGGAGAAGTGCGAGCGGGCAATCCAGAGAAAATCCTTATTTTCTAAAGACTCGTTTTTGCCTTGGTCCTTTTTTAAAAATCTGCTTTCTCACTCGTTCACTTTATTTCCCGTCCTAGCACACATCTGTGAAGAAAGGGGTCTTTTCCTAACAACAACTACTGTATTATTATTATTTCCGGTCTAACCTATTATCATTTTCATGGGATGAAAGCCAGTATCTACATCTTCACGACTGACCTATTTTAAAAGGATACCAAACATTTTCTCCGAATATTTTGGGTCTAATATATTATTTTTAATGCCTTGGGCCTAATATTTGAGCTTAGGGCCAACAATATCTTGATCGTGAGGTTAATTGAGCTCCAGCATGGAAAGAAATCATGTTTTTTCAATGAGAATTAGACTTTTAATAGGAATTTCGTCTGGAAAAGCTTTTCCATAAATTTGGGTCTTATGATACATAAGTATGAAGTCAGAAAACCCATCCAAATCGAAAACCCCTTTGCTTTGTGAAACCCGACGAATGTCATGAATGTACTGTTTCTGTGCCTCTCTTTCTCCAGCCAATCTCTCCCTTCCCCGGAAGGTGTAAATATTCCCATTTTATTTTGTTCTCTTATTGCACTGTGTTTCCCTTCCTTTTTTTCTATCCTGGGAGGGATTTTTAACATTGAAAAGTGGAAAAATCAAATAAATCTTTTCCTTCATGATCAGAAAATGGTTTGGAGGAAGAATTCTTGTTTGATCCCGGGTTTTACAGTGGCAGGCATTTCATTCATGAGGAAATAATAATAATAATAATAATAATAATAATAATAAACCTTTATTTATAGCTCGCTACCATCTCCCGAAGGACTCGGTGCGGTTTACAAGAGGCCGAGCCCAAATACATCAGTAAAACACAACAACAACAACAGTACAATAATAAAAAACTCATAAACAAAGCAAAAAAACCATAAACAATAACACCGCGGCGCATTAAAACCAGTGGCAGGGCCAAATGTAGTACTTAAAATCTTTAAAAGTCTTTAAAATAATATTAATAATAATAATAATAACAACAGCAGCAGCAGGCTGCTGATCGGCACTCTGGGTACAGTGCCTAAAGACCTTGGCCTGCACTTAAACACAATCAACGCTGACAAAATTACCATCTGTCAGCTGCAAATGGCCACCGTACTGGGTGGGATCTGCACGCATTATTCGCCAATACATCACACAGTCCTAGACCAGGGGGTTCTCAAACTTTTTAAACAGCGGGCCAGGTCACAGTTCCTCAAACTGTTGGAGGGCGGAATTATAATTTGAAAAAAAAAACCCCACAGTTTGAATTCCTATGCACACTGCACATATCTTATTAGTAGTGCAAAAACACTACAATAACTCAAATGATGAACAGTTTTAACAAATATAAACCTATCAGTATTTCAGTGGGAAGTGTGGGCCTGTTTTGGCTGATGTGATAGGATTGTTGTTGTTGTGTGCTTTCAAGTTGTTTCAGACTTAGGTTGGGCCAGGTAAATGAGCTGGAGGGCCATATCCGACCCCTGAGCCTCCGTTTGAGGACCCCTGTCGTAGACACTTGGGAAGTGTCTGACGTGTGATCCATTTCAACAACCAGCATAGTGATCTTGTTTGCTGTGTACTAATCTTGTGTTTCAAATAATAATAATAACAGGGAATTAGAACAAATGCCAGCCAAGCCAGAATTGAAAAGTTGACGACAGATCACAAGCGTAGATTCTGCAAGGAAGCAGATGAAACAATAGATCCCATCCTCAGCTGCTGCAAGAAGATTGCGCAGATGGACCACAAGCAGAGGCACAACACCGTTGCTCAGATAATTCATTGGAACTTGTGCCACAAATGCCATCTTCCTGCGACAAAGAACTGCTGAGATCAAAACCCTGAAAATGAACATGTCAAACTACTCTGGGACTTCTGAATTCAGCCAGACAGAGTTTTGGAGCACAAGACTCCTGACCTCGCGGTTGTTTTAAAAAACAAAGTATAGATTGTCAATGTTGCAATTCCAGGTGACAGCAGGATTGAAGATAGACAACTAGAAAAACTGACATGATATGAGGATTTAAAGATTGAACTGCAAAGACTCTGACACTAGGTGGTCCCAGTGGTGATCGGCATACTGGGTGCCGTGCCTAAAGACCTTGGCCTGCACTTAAACACAATCAGTGCTGACAAAATTGCCATCTGCAAAAGGCCACCTTACTGGGATCTGCACGCATTATTCGCCGATTCATCACACAGTCCTAGACACTTGGGAAGGGTCCGACGTGCGATCCAATTCAAGAGCCAGCAGAGTGATCTTGTTTACTGTGTATTCATCTTGTTGTGTATCTAATAATCATCATCATCATCATCATCATTATTTATATGCTGCTTTTTCTCAACATGGCTGGCATTATCTTCCTGTGGAAATTATTATTATTATTATTATTATTATTATTATTATTATTTATTTGCATCTTTTTTATCTCAAAAACAACTGGCATTGACTTCATGTGAATAATAATATAAATAATATAAATTCCACATGAAGTCAATGCCAGTTGCTTTTGAGAGAGAAAAGATGCATATAAATAGTAATAATAATTTCCACAACAAGATAATTCCCTGTTATTATTATTATTTATATGCATCTTTTTTCTCTCAAAAGCAACTGGCATTGACTTCATGTGGAATTATTATTATTAGAAGCGTGCTTCTTCTAATAATAATAATTCCACATGAAGTCAATGCCAGTTGCTTTTGAGAGAAAAAAAAAGTGTGCTGGAAGAAGCAAAGACCATCAGCATTGAAGCGATGGTCCTCCGCCATCAACTCCGCTGGATCGGCCACATTGTCCGGATGCCTGACCACTGTCTCCCAAAGCAGTTGCTCTACTCCGAACTTAAGAACAGAAAACGGAATGTTGGTGGGCAGGAAAAGACATTTAAAGATGGCCTTAAAGCCAACCTTAAAAACTCTGGCATAGACACTGATAACTGCCTTCACTGTGGGAGAAGATGCGGGTCAAGAAGAGGGCTCCACAGCCACCTACAAATCCACAAAAATAGTCATCAAGGAAGACCATCTTACTCATCCAACGAGGGATCGCCTAAGTAGTAAGTAAGTAAGTATTATTATTATTATTATTATTATTATTATTTATATGCTGCTTTTTCTCAAAGTGGCTGGCATTATCTTCCTGTGGAAATTATTAAAGATGCATATAAATAATATTAATAATAAATTATTTTTATAGGCTGCTTTTTCTCAAAGCAACTGGCATTGTCTTCCTGTGGAAATTGTTATTATTATTATTATTATTATTATTATTATTATTATTATTATTGTGTCCAATTCAGGGCACCACAATTCAAGAGAGATATTGACAAGCTGGAATGTGTCCAGAGGAGGGCGACTCAAATGATCAAGGGTCTGGAGAACAAGTCCTATGAGGAGCAGCTTAAGGAGCTGGGCATGTTTAGCCTGAAGAAGAGACGTCTGAGAGGATATTGGCCACGGTAGTCCACGCTCTGGTTACATCCCGTTTAGACTACTGCAACGCTCTCTACGTGGGGTTGCCTTTGAAGACGGCTTGGAAGCTCCAATTAGTCCAACGCTCAGCAGCCATGATACTAACAGGAGCGGAGCACAGGGAGCATACAACTCCTCTGCTGCACCAGCTCCACTGGCTGCCGATTTGCTACTGGGCTCAATTCAAAGTGCTGGTGTTGACCTATAAAGCCCTAAACGGTTCTGGCCCAACCTACCTATCCGAACGTATCTCTGCCTATCAGCCCGCCAGGACCCTAAGATCTTCTGGGGAGGCCCTGCTCTCCATCCCACCTGCTTCACAGGTGCGGCTGGCGGGGACAAGAGACAGGGCGTTTTCTGTGGTGGCCCCCCGGCTGTGGAACGCCCTTCCTATGGAGGTAAGATCAGCCCCCTCGCTAATGGTGTTTCGAAGAAGGTTAAAAACTTGGATGTTTGAACGGGCATTCGGATAAACAGTGCAATGAATGTGATGATTACAGGAATGGAAATATGGACGACGAATTGGATCACGACTCTAGTTATGAGATGTATTACGCTGTCTTATTGTTATGTCAATTTTGTATACTATGCTCTTATGGTTTTAAATTGTTTATCACTGATTGTTTTTTATCCTTGTTGTAAACCGCGTTGAGTCGCCTGTTGGGCTGAGAAACGGCGGTATACAAGTAAAGTAAAGTAAATAAATAATAGCCATGTATAAATATGTGAGAGGAAGCCACAGGGAGGAGGAGGGAGCAAGCTTGTTTTCTGCTTCCCTGGAGACTAGGATGCAATAGAGCAATGGCTTCAAACTCCAAGAGAAGAGATTCCACCTAAACATGAGGAAGTTCCATTCAGCAGTGGAACTCTCTGCCCCGGAGTGTTTTGGAGGCTCCTTCTTTGGAAGCTTTGAAACAGAGGCTGGATGGCCACCTGTCGGGTGATTTGAATGCAATATTCCTGCTTCTTGGCAGAATGGGGTTGGACTGGATGATGGCCCAGGAGGTCTCTTCCAACTCTTGGATTCTATGATAAGCTGCTTTTTCTCAAAGCAGCTGGCATTATCTTCCTGTGGAAATTATATTATTATTATTATTATGCATCTTTTCTCTCTCAAAAGCAACTGGCATTGACTTCATGTGGAATTAATATTATTATTTATATGCTGCTTTTTCTCAAAGTTGCTGGCATTATCTTCCTGTGGAAATTATATTATGATGATGATGATGTTTATTATTATTGTGCATCTTTTCTCCCTCAAAAGCAACTGGCATTGACTTCATGTGGAATTAATATTATTATTATTATTATTTATATGCTGCTTTTTCTCAAAGTGGCTGGCATTATCTTCCTGTGGATATTATATTATTATTATGGATATTATTATTATTATTATGCATCTTTTCTCTCTCAAAAGCAACTGGCATTGACTTCATGTGGAATTTATATTATTATTATTATTATTATTTATACTGCTTTTTCTCAAAGCGGCCGGCATTATCTTCCTGTGGAAATTTTTATATTCTTATTATTATTATGCATCTTTTCTCTCTCAAAAGCAACTGGAATTGACTTCATGTGGAATTAATATCCTTATTTATATTATTTATATGCTTTTTCTCTCTGGAAGCACCTGTTATTATCTGTAAGTGGAAATAATCATCATCACCATCCTACTTATCAAAGTTCTTGGGGGATGAGAAGCAGAACTCTTCATTTGGGGGCTTGTACACAGAGGTGATGGTGATGTTATTAAGCTCTACTGTTAGAACCTCGATATTGTTTTCTTCAGTGTTGTGGACACTGCTGACTTGGAGGCCTGGTTTGACAAAGACAGCGCTTCCATACTGCGCATGTGGTCTTTCCGCTACTAGGATCATTCCTGGAACTTTGGGTCATTTCTGTTGTTCATCCCTGTGTGTTTCTTGGACACACAGCACATCGCATTTCTTATCTTGGCACAGTTTATAGAGCAGTTGCTCTTTGGCAGCTGACATGCCTTTGATGTTGATTGAGATTATTGTCATGGTTGGTCCTGAAAAGAGCCGTTGGTTGTTTTGCTTCCTTGTTTGCATGCTGCAAGTTGCTTCTGAGGCGAGAGAATCAGCCGTGTACGAAGACGTTGCCCAGGGGACGCCCGGATGTCTTGCAATCCTGCGAGGAGGCTTCTCTCATCTCAGCAAGCGAGAGTCCAAAAGTGGCAGGCCCAAGCCCAGCACCTCAATCCATGGCTGATACCAGATGAGAGACTCCTTCCTGGTCACACAGAAGACTGGCTGACTTGGAAGGCGCTGAACAGACTGAGTGGGTTCGGCCTTTCTGCTGCTTCCCATTCATTCCTGTCAAGGTTTATTTTCCTGAGGTAAAAACAGAACCAGGCGCCATTTTGCCCAGAAGGACCACAATGCACCTCGTCCGGCCCTCCTTCCTCAACTCTGATTGGCTGGAAACCAGGAAAGGCGGGGCTGGATCCAAAGGAGGTGAGGGAAAGAGAGAAATCAGACCCGACGATTGGGGAGACGAGATGCCCAATCAGCAAGCTTTGCGAACACCCGCCTCTTTAATCCTCGCCGCCTATTGGATGCGCCGCCTGTCTGTCTCACCTCCCCAGCGAGGCGAGGGAAAGAGAGAAATCAGACCCGACGATTGGCGAGACGAGACGCCCAATCAGCAAGCGTTGCGAACACCCGCCTCTTTAATCCTCGTCGCCTATTGGATGAGCCGCCTGTCTGTCTCCCCTCCCGAGCGAGGCGAGAGGGGAGTGGCTTTTGGGTTGGTGGTAGTACTTGCAGATTTCAGCCGAGGTCTCTGATTGGCGGGGCGAGGTCCCGCCTTCCTCCGCGCCCATTGGCTGCCCCGCCCCGTGTGTGCCTTCCCATTGGCTGAGGCCGCCCGGCCCGGTATCTGGGTAAGATGGCCGCGGCAGAAGAGTGCTCGCTCGCAGTGCCGTTGGCTTCGGTTTCCCTCACGCACGTCGAGTACCCCGCAGGTAAGGCTTCGGCTGAGGGGCCTCGGAGCGGAAAGAAGGCCCCGGAAGCTGAGGACTAGGCCCAATCCCGGAGCCGTTGCTGAGGGGCGCTGGGCAGAAAGCGTCCGCGCATGCGCACTGGGGGGCGGTGGCTGGGGAGCTTTCTGCGCATGCGCGGCTGTGGGCTTGGGCTTTCCTTTCAATGAATGTGGTCTGCCCAGTTTCTGAAGCTAAATATAATAGTAATAATAAAAATAATAATAATAAGATTATGATGATGATGAAAATAAACTATAGTTACAACAATATTAACCATAAATATATAGCAGTAATAATAAGATGTAAAGCTATAGTTATATCAATATTAATAAGAAAGTAAACTATAGTTATAACAATAATATTAACAATAAATATATAGCAGTAATAATAATAAGATGAAAAGCTATAGTTATATCAATATTAACAAGAAAAGAATCCTAGAATCCAAGAGTTGGAAGAGACCTCCTGGGCCATCATCCAGTCCAACCCCATTCTGTCAAGAAGCAGGAATATTGCATTCAAATCACCCCTGACAGATGGCCATCCAGCCTCTGTTTAAAAGCTTCCAAAGAAGGAGCCTCCACCACACTCCGGGGCAGAGAGTTCCACTGCTGAACAGCTCTCACAGTCAGGAAGTTCTTCCTCATGTTCAGATGGAATCTCCTCTCTTGTAGTTTGAAGCCATGGCTCCATTGCGTCCTAGTCTCCAAGGAAGCAGAAAGGAAGCTTGCTCCCTCCTCCCTGTGGCTTCCTCTCACATATTTATACATGGCTCTCATCATATCTCCTCTCAGCCTTCTCCTCTTCAGGCTAAACATGCCCGGCTCCTTAAGCCGCTCCTCATAGGGCTTGTTCTCCAGACCTTTTATCATTTTAGTCGCCCTCCTCTGGACACATTCCAGCTTGTCAATATCTCTCTTGAATTGTGGTGCTCAGAATTGGACACAATATTCGAGATGTGGCCTAACCAAAACAGAATAGAGGGGTAGCATTACTTCCCTAGATCTAGTAGACACTATGCTCCTATTGATGCAGGCCAAAATCCCATTGGCTTTTTTTCCCGCCACATCACATTGTTGGCTCATGTTTAACTTGTTGTCCACAAGGACTCCAAGATCTTTTTCTCGTACTGCTCTCGAGCCAGAAACTATAGTTATAATAACAATAATGTTAACAATAAGAAAAGAAACTATAGTTATAATAACAATAATATTAATAAATATATAGCAGTAATAATAATAAGGTGAAAAGCTATAGTTATATCAATATTAACAATAAGAAAATAAACTATAGTCATAATAACAATAATATTAACAATAAATATATAGCAGTAATAATAATAATATGAAAAGCTATAGTTATGTCAATATTAACAATAAAAGACACTATAGTTATAATCATATTAACAATATATAGCAGTAATAATAATAAGATGAAAAAAGCTATAATAATAATAATATTAACAATAAATATAATATATTAATAATAAATTATTATAGTATTATAGTGATTTCAGATTTAAGGGGGCAATGTTGACAAAGAAACGTGGATAAAGATGTGTCTTTACAGAAATGATCTTGTTTGCTGTGTCCTAATCCTGTTTTGTAGCAAACAATAATAACAAAAATAATAAATCCTGAAAAGTAGATATACATGATCCAATATTATAGTGATTCCAGGCTAAAAAGGGCAGTGTTTACAAAGAAATTCCTGATGTGTTTTTTACAGAATATTAGCAAGAGATTAAAAGAAGACGTAATAATAACATACTATTTATTTATTTACAACATTTATATACCGCCCTTCTCATCCCGAAGGGGACTCAAAGCAACTTACTATATATATATATATATACACACACACACACACACACATACAATATATTTTATTGGTAGCATAGCACAATATCAGTATTATATATTACTATATTGAACTATACCATTATATTAGTAATATTACATGTAATACAAAATATATAATTATAATTTATAATTATAATTACTAATAGGTTGCTGTGAGTTTTCCTCTCAACAAAGGCAGCAATCAGCCAGGCTTTGAAGCTGCAATGCCATTAATTGGTGGCCAATTGCGACATTCATACTCGTCTCAAGGAACTGGACATTCCACAAATATATAAATCCCACTTGCCTAGTTTCCAACAGACCTCATAACCTCTGAGGATGGATGCCTGTCATAGATGTGGGCGAAACCTCAGGACAGAACGCTATAAAGCCCTAAACGGTTCCGACTCAGCATCCCTGTCCAAACATATCTCCCCCTATGAACCATCTCGGAGATTAAGGTCGTCTGGGGAGGCCCTGCTCTCGGTCCCACCCCCCTCGCAAGTGCGGTTGGTGGGGACGAGAGACAGGACCTTCTCAGTGGTGGCTCCTCGCCTGTGGAACTCCCTCCCTAGTGGTATCAGGGCAGCCCCCTTCCTCCTAGTGTTTAGAAAGAGAGTCAAAACCTGGCCCTGGGAGCAGGCGTTTGAAAAACAGAGCTGTGCAGGGTTGTTAGATTGGAATATGTGCAATACAATTCAAAAGCCAGCAAATGTTAAAACAGAATTAAATATCAATATTATATATATTTCGCGTCAGGAGCAACTTGAGAAACTGCAAGTCGCTTCTGGTGTGAGAAAATTGGCCGTTGCCCAAGGGACTTTGCTCAGATGTTTTGATGTTTTACCATCCTTGTGGGAGGCTTCTTATCCCCGCATGGGGAGCTGGAGCTGACAGAGGGAGCTCATCTGTGCTCTCCCCGGATTCGAGCCTGTATATTATTACTACTACTACTACCGGCTGTTAGGAACTGTGGAAGTCCAAAAACCTGGAGGGAGGGCCGAAGTTTGTCCATGACCGTTATATATTCTCTTACACACAGTAGGAAATCATGGGCTTTATTTTACCCAGTGGAGCCCCCGGTGGCGCAGTGGGTTAAACCCCTGTGCCGATAGGACTGAAGACCGACAGGTCACAGGTTCGAATCCGGGGAGAGGCGGATGAGCTCCCTCTACCAGCTCCAGCTCCTCATGTGGGGACATGAGAGAAGCCTCCCACAAGGATGATAAAAATATCAAATCATCCGGACGTCCCCTGGGCAACATCCTTGCAGATGGCCAATTCTCTCACACTAGAAGCGACTTGCAGTTTCTCAAGTCGCTCCTGACACGACAAAAAAATATGTTACCCATTGGAAATTCAGCTTCCTTTTGCAGGGCGTTGGCATTTCTGGGCAGACCTGCATTTTGCCATTATTATCTTTTCCCTTTCATCCCTCTTTTGAGCACCGCAGGAGTGGCCACAAAGCAAAGCACGGCCCCATGTATTATTTATCTCTGTGATGTTCAGTTTCCTCCTCTTGCGTTTCCTGCACCAAGCTGGGCCCGATAGCTGTCTATATCCCGTGGCATACAGTCGGTACATTGCTATTGACTGTGGGTGTGTTTACAATGTAGAGTGAATGCAGTTTGACACCACCTGAATTTCCGTGGCTCCAAAAACCAATGGGATTTTTGCATTGTATCCAAATAAGAACTAGATCAGTTCTCAACCTGTGGGTCCCCAAGTGTTTTGGCCTACAACTCCCAGAAATCCCAGGCCAAAATATCTGGGAACCCACAGGTTGAGGGCTAGGGTCTAGATGGTGGTCACAATGCCCCTCTCTTACTTTATTTTGGTTGGACCTCTTTATCTGGGATTGTGGCGCAGCTGGCTCAGTGTCAGCTGCATTAAGATCACTCTGACCAAAAGGTCATGAGTTCGAAGCCAGCCCAGGTTGGAGTGAGTTTCCAACCAATTGTGTGTAGCCTGTTGTCGACCTTTGCAACCCGAAAGATAGTTGCATCTGTCAAGTAGGACAATAAGGTACCACCTTAAAGTGTGGGGAGGCTAAATTAACTAATTTATGAGGCCATAAAGAAGACCCCAGCAAAGCATTCCAGCGGGGAAGCATGCGGGGAATGCGGAAGTGCTTCATCAGCGTCGCAGATGGACGATGAAAGTGACAGCTCCCCTGGCGGCCAGAAAAAGTTAAATAGCCTCTGTGTATGTCTGTATATGTTTGTATGTCAAAATTGGCATTGAATATTTGCCATATATGTGTACTTTTAATCTGCCCTGTGTCCCCTGCGGGGTGAGGAGAAGGGCAGAATAGAAAAGCTGTAAATAAATAAATAAATCTGGAATAATTACCCTGTGTCCCATTATGGTTAAAGCAATTCAGGAGAGGTATTGACTTTTATCGTGAATACTTTCTGAACTCTGAAAAATATTATTTAATCTGTTTTTATTGGGACAAAGTACATCAGGCACTTCCCGAGAAGGAAAATAATAATAATAATAATAATAATAATAATAATAATATTTATTTATTTATATCCTGCCAACATCTCCCCAAAGGGGACTTGGAGTGGCTTATATGAGGCCAAACCCAGCAATATATTACAGCAACATAAAATATAAACAGCAAATAACATCACAATAAAATAAATAAACCAATCAAGTAAAATAAACAGTACAAAACAGACCTCACTACCTCTGAGGATGCTTGCCATAGATGCAGGCGAAACGTCAGGAGAGAATGCCTCTAGAACATGGCGAGAGTACATCAGGCACTTTCTGAGAAAGAAATAATAATAATAATAATAATCTTTATTTATACCCACTCCCCAAAGGGGACTCGGAGTGGCTTATATGAGGCCAAGCCCTGCGATATATTACAGCAACATAAAATATAAACAACAAATAACATCACAATAAAATAAATAAACCAATCAAGTAAAACAAACAGTACAGAACAGACCTCACTACCTCTGAGGATGCTTGCCATAGATGCAGGCGAAACGTCAGGAGAGAATGCCTCTAGAACATGGCCATATAGTCCAAAAAAACCTACAACAACTCAATAATAACTTTATTTCTTATCCGCCTCTCCTTGTGGCTTGAAGGCGGGTTACAGCATAATTGAAACACATAAACACTAAAAATTGTGTTGTCGAAGATTTTTATGGCTGGAATCACTAGGTTTCTTTGAATTTTCTGGGCTGTATGGTCATGTTCCTGAAGCATTCTCTCCTGCTGTTTCGTCCACAAGTCTACATAGGGACCACCAAGCGCAGCATTGCCCAAACACGAATCAAGGGACACGAAAGGCCCTGCAAATTAATTTAACCTGAGAAGTCAGTCATAGCAGCACACCTGATGAACCAACCTGGACACAACATATTATTTGAGAACACAGAAATGCTGCACCACTCTCACAACCACCATGTCGGACTACACAGAGAAGCCATTGAAATCCAAAGGATTCCCCCAAGCAGCAACCAGCCAGGCCTTGAAACTGCAGGCCATTAAATGCTAATCAAGGTGGCAAATTGCAGTATCCACACATATTTCAAGCAGACAAGAGTTCTTTCCTCCACCTTAAACATTCCACAGATATATAAACCTCACTTATTTAGTTTCCAGCAGACCCCTCAACCTCTGAGGAGTCCTGCCATAAATGTGGGCAAAACGTCAGGAGAGAATGCTTCTGGAACATGGCCAGACAGCCCGGAAAACTCACAGCAACCAGTGTAAAAATTCTATAAATCCACACATTAAAAAGTATTTCTATAATATGTATTTCTATAAAATACATATTAAAATACACACAATTAGACACACAGGCACCAGTACTGGGTTTTATCATAGCTATATCGGTTACGCAGACAAAGTGGAAACATGGAAACATTTGCCCTGGAGTTGTAGGTTTTTCGGGCTATGTGGCCATGTTCTAGAAGCATTCTCTCCTGACGTTTTGCCTGCATCTAAGCCTTAGCTGGTCTGAATCCCTCTACGGAGGTAGAGAAGATCGGGATATAAAAGTTATAAAGAAATAAATTCAACAATACATAGGTTTTTAAATCCTTGCGTTTTGTTGTTTATATGTGATTTATATTAATTGCATTGTTTTATTTGCTCATTGCTTTTTGTTTTATTGATGTGTTGTCAGGCTTGGCCTTATGTAAGCCGCTCCTAGTCCCCTTGGGGAGATGGTGGCGGGGTATAAATAAAGATTATTATTATTATTATTATTATGCATTGCGGACCCTTTTCAGAATTTATTATTACTATATTACATTTATGTTAATATTATTGATATTATTATTATCACTATTATTGTTATTATTATTAATACATTTGCCCTGGAGACTGAGACTCAATGGAGTCATGGGTTCAAATGACAAGAAGGAGATTCTACTTGAACATTCAGAACTTTCTGTCCGTAAGAAAAGCTGTTCAGGAGTGGAACTCTCTGCCTCAGAGTCCAATAGAGACTCCTTCTCTGAATTCTTATAAACAGAGGCTTGATGGCCATATGTTGGGAGGCTTTGATGGTACTGGCAGATTGAGGTTGGACTGGATGGACTCTTACAACTCTGATGTTTTTATGGCTCAATGCTGTGAAATCCTGGGAATTGTAGTTTGGCAGAGAAGACGTTGTAATGCCACAGTTTCCATAGCATTTGAGCCATGGCAATAAAAGTCGTGTCAAACTGCATGGTATAGGTCAGGCATAGGCAAACTTGGTCCTTCTGGGTATTTTGGACTACAACTCCCACAATTCCTAACAGCCTACCGGCTGTTAGGAATTGTGGGAGTTGTAGTCCAAAACACCCAGAAGGCCCAAGTTTGCCTATGCCTGTGTATAGATTCACTTTCTGATTCTTTCATTTCGAAAGTCAAAACAGCGCAATGGTTGTTGCTAATCCGGTTTGCGATCTCTTTGTTTTGATCCCTAACGAACATGCTTAACGAGCGACTTGGGCAAGCCCAGTCCTGGAGACGTTGCCAAACAAGCCTGACCGCCTTCACAGGCCCGTTCTCATCTCTTTTCTCTCTTTCTCGCCCCAGGTGACTTTTCTGGCTACCTCCTGGCCTGGGTCAGCCTGGGTCCCATCTTCATCATTGTCGGCTTCCTCACTCTCATCGTTTTCAAGAGGGAGCTTCACACGGTGAGTCCTGCTCCTATCACCCCCATTTGGGAGTCCACTTCTCTCAATTGCGGCCTAGCAGCTCCCCTTCACCTGTGTTGCCTTACACCTGAAGTTAAGCCCCTCTCTGTTGCAACTCAGGTCAGTTTCACCTTGCTCCCAAACACCACCACACCAGGGCTGTAGATTTTGTAGTTTATTGGGAAAAAAAGCAAAGTCAAAACATAGAATAAGAAATGCAAAAGTTCCACAAGCAGGACAGAGACTTAAATGGAAAAACACAGTTTCCAAGATCCAAAACATGAAGCATAATCCTTTAGGCAATAATCAAACAAGAGTCCATGATAAAACAGTGAAACACAAGACCCAAAATCCCAGATTCAGGAAGCCAAAAGCATGCTGCTTAAAGCCAAGGTTAATCCATAGAAGCTTGCATGGAAAGAGCCACGTTGAACTGACAACTCCCATTGTCAGCCAGAAGGCTAAATACCCTTTGCATTCATGAACGCATTGCGATGACCCTTGGCCGACTTGGCTTCTCGCTTACCAGCTAAGCAAGAGCTCCTCCAGACCCTTAATTCTAAGCGTTTTTGCCTGCTCATTATTTCACTATCTTCAAGGCTCTCTTTATCTTGGTCCAGCTGGGCAAGAACTCAGGGCAGCTCACAAATGGCTTTAGATGCCAAATAAACACAAAATATTAATTGAAAACATCAAATTATAAACCTCAATTTAAAAAGTAAACAAATCCAAAGTCATAATCTGAGGTCTATTCATTGTCAGTCACATAAGTCGTATACATTATTATTGCTGTATCTGTTGCTCAAATGCTTGGTCCGCAACCGTGATTTAAGTTTTTTTCCTAAAGTAAAGGAATGGAGGGGCTAACTTGATTTCGTTAGGGAGTGAGTTCCACAGATTGGGGGGGGGGGCATCACCGAGAAGGCCCAGTCTCTCATCCCCACCAATCGCATTTCTGAGGGTGGCGGGATCGAGAGCAGGGCGTCCCCTGATGTTCATAAACTCTGAGGTGGATCATTGAGGGAGATAATGTTCAGACAAGTAAGCTGGGCCAGAACCTTGTAGGGCTTTATAGGCCAAAGCCAGCACTTTGAATTGTGCTCAGTAGCAAACTGGCAGCCAGTGGAGCTGGCGTAACGGGGGGTTGGTATGCTCCCTGTACACTCCCAGTCTTCAAAGGCAACCCCACATAGAGTGCGTTGCAGTAATCTATGGATCATGATTTTGCCCAATTAGGGGAGATTGGAAACTTTCCGAAAGTTGACTAATTGGGTGAGGTCATCATTGCATCCCAAACCATTCAACCTAATTTGTGAAAGCCACAAAAACAATGTTTCTGGAGTAGAACAACTACTTTCAGAATAGTTCCTTCCTTTGAAAGAGGTTGTTCTACTCCAGAATTAAACACGACAGAACACTTCCAGACCAAGAAGAGATTTTTTTTCAAATTGTGTTACATAGTGTTATCATCATAGTAATAATAGTAATAATAATAATAATACGCTATTGTTCTTATTAATACTATTGTTAAGCATTGAGCCATGGAAATCAAAGGGGTATGAAACTGCTTTAGATGCCGTGATGGTGAACCTATGACACGCGTGTCAGCACTGACACACGTGGCTATTTTTGATGACACGCGGCCACATGCGGACACATACAGAGAAGTACACCTTATAAGAGCCAATCTAATTCCATCCTTAAATTTGTAAAAGGCTCTACAAATTTAACATCTGCACGTTTGAGCATTGTTCACTCCATAACTCAGCATGGAGTATACATTTTTCTTATTTAAACTATAAATATTGCAAAATTACGTTTATTTTTTCTCGAAGTTGACACCCCACCCAAGTTATGCTCAGGTTTTTGGCAAATTTTGACACACCAAGCTCAAAAGTTTGCCCATCACTGCCCGAGAGCTACGTCAGCTGTTGGAATTTAAGGTGCAACTTTTTACATTTCGTGTCAACAGCATTGCATTCAAAATTAAGTTTAAAAATTGATAAAATAAAAGGATCACGAGCAACTAAATAGTTGAGCATCACCTCCATATTCCGGAAATGGAAGGGGAAGGCCTTTACCTGTGTATTGTATGTGATTTTTTACTTTGTATGTTTGCCTTATAAAACTAATCCAGGGAGATAAAGCGGAACATAAATAAAATGTATTATTATTATTATTATTATTATTATTATTATTATTCTGACACAAAAACACAGTATGTCACAGCAAATGAGATCTATATGCTGGAATTATTATTATTATTATTATTATTATTATTATTATTATTATTATTATTAGCATTGACTGTCATTGGCCATGGCAAGTTGTCCCATCCGTCTCAGCCTCTTCTATCCTTTCTGTACAGATCTCTTTCTTGCTGGGGTTGGTGCTCAACGAAGGTATGAATTGGCTCATCAAGAGCATTGTCCAGGAGCCGCGGCCCTGTCCAGGTAGGAGACTATCCCTGCTGGGGAAAGCCATGGGGAGCTACAGCCGTTTGCGGAATTGGAGGAATAATTCTGCCCTTCCCCCCCCCCCCCCCTTCTTTCCAGAAATCCATCCGTCGGTCTTTTCCAAGTACGCGATGCCTTCCAGCCACTCCCAGTTCATGTGGTTTTTTGCTGCCTACTCCTTCCTCTTCCTCTATTTAAGGTGAATCCCTGAATGTGGCTTTTCCAGGCTTTGTTATTAAATGGCGTAGTTCAGAGAGGGCAGCTCCCTTGCTTACCTTCTTCCCCTGTTAACTATTTTACTATGATGTGTAAATTCTTACTCGCTCTACCTCATGGCTTGAGGCGGGTTTCAACATAGTTAAAACCTGCTTGTTTAACCTGCCTAAAGCCGTGAGGAGAGGCGAGTAAGAAATAATAATAATTATTATTATTATTATTGCAAAATATGATGGATAGGTAGATAAGATAGAATAGATGGATGCATTATTATTACTTTTATTGTTTGGTTGCATGCTGCAAGTTGCTCCTTGTGTGAGAGAATCAGCCATCTATGAAGATGTTGCCCAGGAGTTACTATCCTGTGGGGAGGCTTCTCTGGATTATTATTATTATTATTATTATTATTACTTTTATTGTTTGGTTGCATGCTGCAAGTTGCTCCTGATGTGAGAGAATCAGCCGTCTACGAAGATGTTGACCAGGGGTTACTATCCTGTGGGGGGGGGGGGTTTCTCTGTATTATTATTACTTTTATTGTCTGGTTGCATGCTGCAAGTTGCTCCTGGTGTGAGAGAATAAGCCATCTACAAAGACGTTGCCCAGGGGTCACCCAGATGTGTTACTATCCTGTGAGGTGCTTCTCTGGATTATTATTACTTTTATTGTTTGGTTGCATGCTGCAAGTTGCTCTTGGTGTGAGAGAATCAGCCGTCTATGAAGATGTTGCCCAGGGGTTACTATCCTGTGGGGAGGCTTCTCCGGATTATTGTTGTTGTTATTATTATTACTATTATTACTTTTATTGTTTGGTTGCATGCTGCAAGTTGCTCCTGGTGTGAGAGAATCAGCCGTCTATAAAGACGTTGCCCAGGGGACAACCAGATGTGTTATTATCCTGTGGGGAGGCTTCTCTGGATTATTATTGTTATTCTTACTTTTATTGTTTGGTTGCATCCTGCAAGTTACTCCTGGTGTGAGAGAATCAGCCGTCTACGAAGATGTTGCCCAGGGGTTACTATCCTGTGGGGTGGCTTCTCCGGATTATTGTTGTTGTTATTATTATTATTATTATTATTATTATTATTATTACTTTTATTGTTTGGTTGCATGCTGCAAGTTGCTCCTTGTGTGAGAGAATCAACCGTCTACGAAGATGTTGCCCAGGGGTTACTATCCTGTGTGTGTGTGTGTGGGGGGGGGGTTCTCTGTATTATTATTACTTTTATTGTCTGGTTGCATGCTGCAAGTTGCTCCTGGTGTGAGAGAATCAGCCATCTACAAAGACATTGCCCAGGGGTTACTATCCTGTGAGGTGCTTCTCTGGATTATTATTACTTTTATTGTTTGGTTGCATGCTGCAAGTTGCTCCTGGTGTGAGAGAATCAGCCGTCTATAAAGACGTTGCCCAGGGGACAACCAGATGTGTTATTATCCTGTGGGGAGGCTTCTCTGGATTATTATTGTTATTCTTACTTTTATTGTTTGGTTGCATCCTGCAAGTTACTCCTGGTGTGAGAGAATCAGCCGTCTACGAAGATGTTGCCCAGGGGTTACTATCCTGTGGGGTGGCTTCTCCGGATTATTGTTGTTATTATTATTATTATTATTACTTTTATTGTTTGGTTGCATGCTGCAAGTTGCTCCTTGTGTGAGAGAATCAACCGTCTACGAAGATGTTGCCCAGGGGTTACTATCCTGTGTGTGTGTGTGTGGGGGGAGGGGGTTCTCTGTATTATTATTACTTTTATTGTCTGGTTGCATGCTGCAAGTTGCTCCTGGTGTGAGAGAATCAGCCATCTACAAAGACATTGCCCAGGGGTTACTATCCTGTGAGGTGCTTCTCTGGATTATTATTACTTTTATTGTTTGGTTGCATGCTGCAAGTTGCTCCTGGTGTGAGAGAATCAGCCGTCTATGAAGACGTTGCCCAGGGGACACCCAGATGTGTTACTATCCTGTGGGGAGGCTTCTCTCTTGTCCCCCCATCAATGTTTAGCATTTACACAAATGATCAGCCACTGCCAGAAGGGACAGAAAGTTTCATCTATGCTAACGATCATGCCATCACTGCTCAATCAGGAAGGTTTGAAATGGTTGAGCAGAAGCTCCACGTTCCATAGTTCCACGTCCTTCCAATGTCTTTTTTCCTCCTCACAGAATGCACCAAACGAACAACGCCAGGTTCCTAGACTTACTATGGAGACACGTGCTCTCCCTCTGCCTCTTAACTGTGGCCTTCCTGGTCTCATACAGTAGGTACGTCTCTTTTGTTGCAGTGAATAGTTGGCCATGTTGGTGCTCCTGGCGGCCTTGGGATAACTAGTTCTCCTCGTCTCTTTTACGCCCCCCTCCAGGGTCTATCTACGCTACCACACCGGGAGCCAAGTCGTCTACGGGGGCCTTGCAGGGACCGTCATGGCCGTCGTGTGGTTCGCCTTCACGCAGGAGATCCTCACGCCCTTCTTCCCTAGGATAGCGGCCTGGTACGTCTTTCCTAACAGACATTACCTTTCCAAGCTGACTTTTTTTTTCTCCATGAGTTTGTTGTTATTGTTGTTTTTTAACACAAAAAGCAAAAAAAGAAGAAGAGGGCAGTGGAGTTCTTGTTAGTAAATGTACAAATGTCTATTATGTCGCCGACAGAGAGGAAGGGGGTTGAGGGAGGTGTGGAAAGAGAAGCCTTGTAGTGGTAATTATTACATCTATTAATAATGTACCGTATATAAAGTAGGTAAAGGCTTTCCCCTGACATTAAGTCCAGTTGTGTTCAACTCTGGGGAGTGGTGCTCATCTCCATTCCTAAGCCGAAGAGCCGGCGTTGTCCATAGACACCTCCAAGGTCATGTGGCCAGCATGACTGAATGCAGCGCCATTATATTCCAGTATAAACCAGGCTTTTCAGCCCTTCTTTAAGGCTGAAAAAGCCCCCCTCAGCTTATACATGAGTCAAAGTTATTTATTATTTTACTCTGTTATTATTAATATTTTATTACATTGATTATTTTTCTTTATGATTCTTACATGTATTATTTTACTCTACTATTATTATGACATTTAGATTATTTTACTGTATTATCATTATTATTACATTTATTGGAGCTCCCAGGTTAAACCCTTGTGCTGGCAGGACTGAAGACTGACAGGTCAGAGGTTCGAATCCAGGGAGAACGCAGATGAGCTCCCTCTGTCAGCTCCAGCTCCCCATGCGGGGACATGAGAGAAGCCTCCCACAAGAATGATAAAACATCCAAACGTCTGGGCAATATCCTTGCAGACGGCCAATTCTCTCACACCAGAAGCGACTTGCAGTTTCTCAAGTCGCTCCTGACTGGAAAAAAAATTACATTTATTATTTTACTCTATTATTATCACATTTCCATTATTTCTTTTTTTTAATATCATCTTTATTAAAAGTTTTCTTTTATGACATACAGTGCAATAGATTAAGAAAAAGAACGAAAAGAGAAGAGAGAGAGAGAGAGAGAAAAGGAAGATAGAGAGTGACCAGAGAGGAAGAAGTAGGGAGTACAAAAGCAAGAGAGAGGAGAGAAAGGAAAAAGAAAGAAAGAAAGAAAAAATAGCAGAAAAAAAGAAAAATTTGGTATACATCTCCTTCATTGACTTCCTTTATATCTTCCGAGTGGGTTTTCCTTTTCTTTCTCCCACCTGTGTCTTCTTCCGGTTTTCTCTTCTATTTATATTATTACGTTTCTGTTTTCTTGTTTTAAATAGTTTGTCACATTTGTCCAATCAGTTTCTTTTATTGGGGTTCCTTTATTTTTTGATATCAGATATGTTAATCTGTCCATATTTCTGATGTCTAACATTTTTTCTGTCCAGTCCTTAATTTCTGGAGTCTCTTCCTTCTTCCAGAATTTTGCGTAGCAAATTCTTGCTTCTGTGTTCAATGAAAAAAGGAGTTTTATCTGTGTTTTTATCTATCTTTGGATCTGTTATGCCTAATAAAAATAGCTCAGGTTTGAATGGGATTCTTATGTGTAGCATTTCCTGTATCATTTCGTGGATTTTTTTCCAGTACAGTTGAGTTTTTGAGCATGACCACATGTGGAAATATGAACCCTCCGTCCTTCCGCATTTCCAGCATTTTATATTTATATTTTTATAAGTATTACCTAATTTTTAGGGGTCATATACCACCTATGTGCCACCTTAAGCCAATTTTCTTTTAAATCTATTGCGTATGTATATTTGATCTTTATTCTCCAAATTCTTTCCCAATCTTCTTTTTTAATTGTTTTTCCGAGGTTTTCATTCCATCTTTTCATGTTTTTTTTCGTCTTCTGTTTCCATGTTCCATTCTATTAATTTCTTGTATAATTTTGTTATGATCTTTCTTTCTGTTTTTAGTATGCATTTCCATTGTTTCATTCTATTATTCTTATTACATTTCCATTATTTCACTCTATTATTATTATTATTATTATTATTATTATTATTACATTTCCATTATTTTACTCTATTTATTATGATTATCATTATTACATTTAATATTTTACTCTATTATTATTACATTTCCATTATTTTACTCTATTATCATTATTACATTTCCATTATTTTACTCTATTATCATTATTACATTTATTATTTTACTCTATTATCATTATTACATTTCCATTATTTTACTCTATTTATTATGATTATCATTATTACATTTATTATTTTACTCTATTATTACATTTCCATTATTTTACTCTATTATCATCATTATTACATTTACTATTTTACTCTATTTATTATTATTATTATTACATTTATTATATTACTCTATTATTATTACATTTCCATTATTTCTATTATTATTATTATTTTTATTATTTTTCCATTATTTTACTCTATTTATTATGATTATCATTATTACATTTATTATTTTACTTTATTATTATTACATTTCCATTATTTTACTGTATTATCATTATTACATTTATTATTTTACTCTTTTTATTATGATTATTATTACATGTACTATTTTACTCTATTATTATTACATTTCCATTATTTTACTCTATTTATTATGATTATCATTATTACATTTATTATTTTACTCTTATTATTATTATAGCATTTATTATTTTACTTTACTATTATGGAAATGTTTTATGGATTTGCAGTTTTAAGTGTGTTTGGAATAGGACACCCTTGGGCCTGCGTAAGCTGCAAATCCCATCGTTCTGCAGTTGAAAGTAGAATACAGAGCTATAACGACATGGTGTGATATGGCTCTGGCACATGGCTGTCTCTAATTTGAATATGTAATTACAGATTCTGGGTAGCTTTCTAAATGTCTAAACATGCCAGGTCCCGCCGCTTTGCACTCTGCGCCGTGGATGTATTTGAATCATAAAAATTCACCAGCCAAGTTGAATGCCTCTTCCTCCTTTTGCCCTTTTCCAGGCCGATATCGGAATTCTTTTTAATCCGAGACACCAGCCTCATCCCAAACATCCTATGGTTCGAGTACACTGTCACCCGGGCTGAAGCCAGGTGAGAATCGGGATGGGAGATTGTCCCAAAAGCAACTTGTGACACCGAGTCCTTTGATGGAGTACTTCCTCATTCTTCTGCACACCGCTTGAGGATTTTATGGCATTGTAAATTAGTTAAATTAGCCTCCCCACATAAAGTGGTACCTAAATTTCCTACTTGACAGATGCAACTGTCTTTCGGGCTGCATAGGTTGACAGAAAGCTAGACTTAATAGTTGGGAGCTCACTCCAACCCAGGCTGACTTTGAACTCATGACTTCTCGGGTCAGTAGTGATTTAATGCAGCCGGCTACTATTTAGCTGCGCCACATGTTATTAGTCCACATGACTATTGACGATCACAACAACATCAACAATTATTTATTTATTGTGTCAGGAGCAAACCAAACAGTTGTATTGCATTTTTTAACAAACAAATAAACCAAAGTTTGCAAGCTTGGTAGTTGCTTAAATGTCCTTTGACCAGTATCTGGCCCTTGGAGTGCCTCTGGTGTTGCCACAAAAAGGTCCTCCCTTGTGCATGTGGCAGGGCTCAGGTTGCATTGCAGCAGGTGGTCAGTGGTTTGCTCCTCTCCACACTCACATGTCGAAGATTCCACTTTGTAGCCCCATTTCTTGAGGTTGGCCCTGCATCTCGTGGTGCCAGAGTGCAGTCTGTTCAGCGCGTTCCAAGTCGCCCAGTCCTCTGTGTGCCCAGGGGGGAGTCTCTCATTTGGTATCAGCCATTGGTTGAGGTTCTGGGTTTGAGCCTGCCACTTTTGGACTCTCGCTTGCTGGGGTGTTCCAGCGAGTGTCTCTGTAGATCTTAGAAAACTATTTCTTGATTTAAGTCGTTGATGTGCTGGCTGATACCCAAACAGGGGATGAGCTGGAGATGTCTCTGCCTTGGTCCTTTCACTATTGGCTGCTACTTCCCGGCGGATGTCAGGTGGTGCAATACCGGCTAAGCAGTGTAATTTCTCCAGTGGTGTAGGGCGCAGACACCCCGTGATAATGCGGCATGTCTCATTAAGAGCCACATCCACTGTTTTAGTGGTGAGATGTGTTCCACACTGGGCATGCATACTCAGCAGCAGTGTAGCACAGCGCAAGGGCAGATGTCTTCACTGTGTCTGGTTGTGATCCCCAGGTTGTGCCAGTCAGCTTTCGTACGATATTGTTTCTAGCACCCACTTTTTTCTTGATATTCAGGCAGTGCTTCTTGTAGGTCAGAATGCGGTCCAGAGTGACTCCCAGGTATTTGGGTGTGCTGCAATGCTCCAGTGGGATTCCTTCCCAGGTCATCCTTAGAGCTCGGGATGCTTGTCTATTCTTAAGGTGAAAAGCACATGTCTGTGTTTTAGATGGATTAGGGATCCGCTGGTTTTCCCTGTAATAGGCAGTAAGAGCACCTAGAGCTTCGGAGAGCTTCTGTTCTACCATCTCAAAGCTCCCTTCTTGAGCGGTGATGGCACGATCGTCAGCATAGATGAAACTCTCTGTCCCTTCTGGCAGTGTCTGATAATGTCTGTACATATTGAACATTGATGGAGCAAGCTTCGGAGAGGTAGTAAGAGCACCTAAAGCTTTGGAGAGCTTGTGTTCACCCATCTCAAGGCTCCCTGCTTGAGCAGTAATGGCACAGTCATCAGCATAGATGAAGCTCTCTGTCCCTTCTGGCAGTGACTGGTCATTTGTGTAGATGTTGAACATGGATGGAGCAAGCACGCTCCCCTGAGGCAGGCCATTCTTCTGTTTCCGCCATCTGCTTCTCTGGCCCTGGAATTCAACAAAAAAGCTCCTGTTTTGTAGCAGGTTTCCTATGAGGCGGGTGAGGTGGTTGTCCTTTGTGATAGTATACATTTTTCTCATTTTAATGTTATTGTTAGCAGCCTTGAGTCTCTTGATGTAGAAAGCCAGGCTAGAAATAAAGTAGTAGTAGTAGTAGCCGGGCTAGAAATAAAGTAGTAGTAGTAGTAGTAGTAGTAGTAGTTGAAATGTTGTAGTAGTAGTAGTAGTAGTAGTTGTTGTTGTTGATGATGATGGTGATGCTGTTTGCCATCTTTGAGCCCCCACGGGGAGAAATACTACCCTCTACCCCCTGAAAATAAGACCTAGCGCATCTTTGGGAGCAAAAAAATAATATAATTAATATAAGACACGGTCTTATTTTCGGGGAAACAGGATGTCGATTTGTGTCCCTCTGCCACAGGAACCGGCAGCGCAAGCTGGGCACCAAGCTGCAGTGAGCCCTGGAAGGCGCCGGAAGCGGACCGCCACTCGATTCTGCCGAGCAAAAGGACGACAACGACGGGCCGGAGCAGAGAGAGAGAGACCTGTACAGAGCGAGAGCTGGGCGCAAGGAGGCCTTGCTTTTGAGGGAAGGCGGACCCAAGGGCCAAGTCGAGGGACCAATCCTCACCCCTTGCAAAACCCGGAAGTTTGCGCCAACCCCCCCGATGCATGTTGAAGATGGGCGCGGACCCCCTCCCTCCTCCCCACGTATATCTATATCTATATCACTGGGGCACCGCGGACGGCCGCCAATCCTTCCTGCACGACCCGTTTCTTCGCCCAGGGCTTGTTTGCACGACTCGACGCCGGTACAGAATCACGGAGCTTGAAAGAGGCGCCCGGAGGCCATCCAGTCCAACCCCCTTCTGCCTTCAAGGAAGACACCTTCCAAACCTTCCCGACAGATGGCCACCCAGCCTGCTTCAGAGAGGAAGGCGCCATCACACTGTTGAACAGCTCTTACCATCAGGACGTTCTTCCTAACGTTTCTCCGGAATCTCTTTTGTTTCCGGGAGTTTTGGTCGCCATGTGTCCTAGTCTCCCAGAGCAGCCGAAAACAAGCTTCCAGATACTTCCAGTCTTTTTTTCGTCTCCAAACGAAGCATCTCCAAAAGGATGTGTCTTTTCCCGGAAGACCGTGGATCGTTCTGGACCCCTTCTTCCATCTCGTCCATCTCTTCCTCCTTGAGTTTCGGGCCAGGATTACAATTCCAGGTGAGATCTGACCAAAAGATGGGGAGTCCCGCAACTTCTCTCAACCCTGTTGGTGCGGCCTAGGATCGCGTTGGCCTTTGTTGCCGCCGCGTCACACTTTTGGCTCAATAGAAGCCGGGAAGGGGGTTTGGAGAATACACACGACACAGCATCTTGTCTGCAGGATTGACCGTATATCTCTCTTTTTCAGAAAGCAAACCCGGTTTCCCTTTTTGGTGGCATGCGGTAAACACACTATTTATTAGCATTCTTTTCCGACGCGGACTGCTCTTTGTGGGTTTTCAGGGAAGGGAGGAAAACCTATATTTGGGAGGATTTGCAAATGGGCCGTTTATCATTTCTCCACGACTGTTTCAAAGCTGCCTTTCGTCCCAATTTGACGACGGAGAGGATTTTGTTTTTTGTTTTTTTCAGAGAAACACTAGTGACTTTTCCCTCCGCACCCGCGGGTGGCTTGACGCAGTGGTGAGAATCCCACTATGCTAACCTTATGTCTTTTTTTATTATTTCTTTGGGGTCCACTTGTTCCTTTTCTGTGCCAGTCGTTTGGCCTCTTCTTCTTCTTTTCTCTCCTTTCAACTCTGTGAACTGGTTGTTTTGACATGGAAAAGCTCAAAGGACGCACTGTTAAGCCACTGCTGTACTTAAATGGTTTACAAATCCCCTGAAGCAATTCCCCAAAACTTTTACATACTCAATAATAATAATAATGATAATAATAATAATAAAAAGTGTTTTTATGGTCAGGCCCGGCCTGTATCCGTATTTTCTCCAGTCTCATGCGGCATCAAATCTCATGCGTGCCTCCATTTTCTAAAGGTTGGAAGCAAAAAAGGTATTGGTTGTCGAATGTACGGCACAGCAGTCTTCACACTGGAGCTTTCTCACACAAGGTTTACCTCACATTCCTCAGGACAACACTAGCTTCGGCCCACTGACACTAACAGGCTTCGGCCTACTCTCCCCAAAATGACACTAGCTTTGGCCCACTGACTAACAGGCTTCGGCCTACTCACTCTCCTCAGGAGGACACTAGCTTTGGCCCACTGACTAACAGGCTTCGGCCTACTCACTCTCGTCAGGACGACACTAGCTTGGGCCCACTAACACTAACAGGCTTCGGCCTGCTCACTCTTGTCAGGAAGACACTAGCTTTGGCCCACTAACACTAACAGGCTTCGGCCTACTCACTCTCCTCAGGAGGACACTAGCTTTGGCCCACTGACTAACAGGCTTCGGCCTACTCACTCTCGTCAGGACGACACTAGCTTGGGCCCACTAACACTAACAGGCTTCGGCCTGCTCACTCTTGTCAGGAAGACACTAGCTTTGGCCCACTAACACTAACAGGCTTCGGCCTACTCACTCTCCTCAGGAGGACACTAGCTTTGGCCCACTGACTAACAGGCTTCGGCCTACTCACTCTCGTCAGGACGACACTAGCTGGCCCACTGACTCTAATAGGCTTCGGCCTACTCACTCTCGTCAGGATGACACTAGCTCTGGCCCACTGACTCTAACATGCTTCGGGGTACTCGTCAGGACAACACTAGCTTTGGCCCATTGTCTCTTAACAGGCTTCGGCCTACTCACTCTCCTCAGGAGGACACTAGCTTTGGCCCACTGACTAACAGGCTTCGGCCTACTCACTCTCGTCAGGACGACACTAGCTTGGGCCCACTAACACTAACAGGCTTCGGCCTGCTCACTCTTGTCAGGAAGACACTAGCTTTGGCCCACTAACACTAACAGGCTTCGGCCTACTCACTCTCCTCAGGAGGACACTAGCTTTGGCCCACTGACTAACAGGCTTCGGCCTACTCACTCTCGTCAGGACGACACTAGCTGGCCCACTGACTCTAATAGGCTTCGGCCTACTCACTCTCGTCAGGATGACACTAGCTCTGGCCCACTGACTCTAACATGCTTCGGGGTACTCGTCAGGACAACACTAGCTTTGGCCCATTGTCTCTTAACAGGCTTCGGCCTACTCACTCTCGTTAGGATGACACTAGCATTGGTGCACTGACTCTGACAGGCTCTGGCTTACTCACCCTCCTCAGGGTGACACTAGCTCTGGCCCACTGACTAACAGGCTTCGGCCTACTCACTCATCAGGACGACACTAGCTTTGACCCATTGACTCTTAACAGGCTTTGGCCTACTCACTCTCATCAGGACGACACTAGCTTTGGTGCACTGACTCTGACAGGCTTCGGCCAACTTACTCTTTCAGGGCTTGCCTCACACTTTTGTAATTAAAAATACCTAGTTAATTTTTAATGTTTCTGACACAACTTTTGTAATTTGGCCAATGCAGTTAGTCTCTCTTATTTTCCACTGGATTTCTGTTCCAATCCCATGCTTTTATGTCTATGTTGTCATGGGACCCAATATCTTCCAATATCTTTGTTGTTTCATGGGTTGCTGTGAGTTTTCTGGGCTGTATGGCCATGTTCCAGAAGCATTCTCTCCTGACGTTTCACCCACATCTATGGCAGGCATCCTCAGAGGTTGTGAGGTCTGTTGGAAACTAGGCAAGTGGGGCTGATATATCTGTGGAATGATGTGCAGAGTGGGAGAAAGAACTCTTGCCTGTTGGAGCCAAGCGTGAATGTTGCAATTGGCCAAGCTTGATTAGCATTGAATGGCCTTGCAGCTTCAAGGTCTGGCTGCTTACTGCCTGTTTATATATCTGTGGAATAATGTCCAGGGTGGGAGAAAGAACTCTTGCCTGTTGGAGGCAAGTGTGAATGTTGCAATGGGCCAGCTTGATTAGTATTGAATGGCCTTGCAGCTTCAAAGCCTGGCTGATTGTTATTATTGGCTGCAGGAGGAAGAAGCTGTAGTTATATTACTTATATTCTATTCCATATATTCTATTATGATTATAATATTATTATTATAGTCTATATTAATATTATTTCAGTCATACTTGGCCACGAGTGATCAGCTGATATTATTAGTATTAATAATAACACAGCAAGATGAGAAAGTAATATTATTTGATACCCAGCAAGGTGGGAGAAGGAACTCTTGTCTGTTGGAGGCAAATGTGAATGTTGCCATTGGCCACCTTGATTAGCACTGAATTGCCTTGCAGCTTCAAAGCCTGGCTGTGGAAGGTCCAGGGTGGGAGAAAGAACTCTTGTCTGTTGGAGGCAAGTGTGAATGTTGCAATTGGCCACCTTGATTAGCACTGAATTGCCTTGCAGCTTCAAAGCCTGGCTGTGGAAGGTCCAGAGTGGGAGAAAGAACTCTTGTCTGTTAGAGGCAAGTGTGAGGAGGTGTTTGGGGGGAATTGACCTTGATTTTGGGAGTTGTAGTTCACCTCCATCCAGAGAAACAGTGACCTCTACCAACAATGGACTGGGACCAAACTTGGCAGAGAAGCCTCATGAACATACTACAGGGGTTTGTGGGAATTAACCTTCATTTTGGGAATTGTTCACCTCCATCCAGAGAAACGGAGACCCCCACCGACAATGGAACAGGACCACACTTGGCACAGAGAAGCCCCACGACCAACTGAACATAATGGAGAAGTTTGAGGGAAATTGTCGTTGATTTGGGGAGTTGTAGTTCACCTGCATCCAGAAAGCACTGAACCCAGCTGACGTCAGATCTGGACCACGCTTGGCACACAAACCCAACATGGACAATTGTGCATACAGGTGGTGATTGGGGGAATCTACAGTAGCTTTAAATCTTACTCTGCTCCCAAATATTTTTACACACAAGAGACATAGAATGCAAAAAGCCACCTTTACATTATATACAAGCAAACGTCTGGGTTCCTTTATTGCAGCCCTGCCTTTTTCAAACAGCATAGCATCTCTCTATATATATTTTCACACATTACTATGACAAAGTCATACAAACAAGATTTTCGGAAGCATTACAAAAGTGCACACAATATTCAAACAGCGCTTTTTTCTAGTTTTCCCAAAAAAGCTGAAAAAGAGAAATGCAATAGACTCCGAAGCCCACCGTTTGTAGCTGACCAGCTTATTTGAAAGTGTGTTGCCATGCGCGTATATATATATATATATATATATATATATATATATATATAGAGCATGCCTTAGTGTAGGTGTGCTTAGAGCACTTCACATTTTTTCTGGAACCCTTTAAGGAGGGTCTTCTAATTCAGAGCGTCAAAATCTTAACTTTGTTCAAAGTCGACAATTTTAAAAATCAAATAGCTCAAGTCTCGGGCCCTTCACTATTAGGTTAATTTGTTTAGATCAACTTCTAATGCAAAGAATTAAAATTACGAACCGTTAACCATCAACATCTTGAGACGTCTAATACGGATGCCTTTAGTGTCCGTGTTTTTCAGCTATGAGTAAAACAATAATCCAACTGACAGGTTTAGAGGCTCAGATAAGAATCAAAGCGCCCAATAGTATTAATAAAGTACTATTGAAGTTCCTTAACCTTTACTCGATCCTGGTCGCCACAAACGTAGGTTGGATGTAACTAAACGTGATTTTTTTTCAGGCAAATGTAAACATTTAAGAAAAATAGGCTATCTTCCTTGGATAAGATAATATAAGGCACTTCCAGGGATGTAAGGGTTTGGTTATTCATATGAGGGTTATCTGGAAAGTAAGGTTACAAGGCACGTAGATCTCGCGGGGAATTTCTCAGGGGAAGTTGGTATCACTGCTGTGTAGTGCTAAGCCTGCGGAAGTGAACGAGCAGTACCAGTCATCGGTAACTCATCGACTGATGTTGTGGTGAAGGTTAGAGATGAGCGTCCTCATTCCGTTTCCCTCCAAGTGCAAAGTTTGCACTGTACAAATATTATCCGGAAAGTAAGGTTACAAGGCACGTAGCTCTTGCGGGGAATTTCTCGAGGGAAGTTGGTATCACTGCTGTGTAGTGCTAAGCCTGCAGAAGCGAACGAGCAGTGCCAGTCGTTGGTAGCTCATCAACTGATGTGGTGAAGGTTAGAGATGAGCATCCTCATTCCATTTCTCTTCAACTGCGACGTTCATGTTGTATGAGGGATATCCAGAAAGTAACGTTACAAGGCACATAGCTCTCACTGGGAATTTCGCAGGGGAAATTGGTATCACTGTCATGTAGCAGGAAGCCAGTGGAAGAGAACGAACAGTGCCAGTCATCGGTAGCTCATCAACTGATGTTGTGGTGAAGGTTAGAGATGAGTGTCCTCATTCCGTTTCCCTCAAAGTGCGAAGTTTGCACTGTACAAAGATTATCCGGAAAGTAAGGTTTACAAGGCATGTAGGTCTCGCGGGAAATTTCTTGGGGGAAGTTGGTATCACTGTTGTGTAGTGCTAAGCCTGCGGAAGCGAACGAGCAGTGCCAGTCGTCGGTAGCTCATCAACTGATGTTGTGGTGAAGGTTAGAAATCAGTGTCCTCATTCCGTTTCCCTCCAAGTACGAAGTTTGCACTGTACAAAGATTATCCGGAAAGTAAGGTTACAAGACACGTAGTTCTCACGGGAAAATTGTTGGGGGAAGTTGGTATTGCTGCCATGTAGCAGGAAGCCAGCAGAAGAGAACGAGCAGTGTCAGTTGTCAGTAGGTCATCAACTGATGTTGTGGTGAAGGTTAGAGATGAGCATCCTCATTCCATTTCTCTTCAAGTGCGAAGTTCATACTGTATGAGGGATATCCAGAAAGTAAGGATAAAAGGCACGTAGCTCTCACGGGAAATTTCTCGGGGGAAGTTGGTATCACTGCTGTGTAGTGCTAAGCCTGCAGAAG